ACTACAAAACTAACATTCAAATATGAACTATCAGGAACAACAGCAACAGCCTATTCTATTTACGCATTAACATTATATGAGCAAGATGTTGAGCTAATTCAAAAAGATGGTAAAATAATACTCAGATCGTAAATTGAATATGGTTAAAATTATGTAACATATATTATATACAAGTAATGACGAAATATTATCCTTACGGTGTGTCACTTAGTAAAGGACAATTGGAAAAGCTTTCGCGAGCTTACAATAATAATTCTGCAATAACAATCAGACTTGCCAGAAATGAGTTATCCGGTCCACATGAATTAATGCTCACAAAAACTCAGATCAATAAATTGAGAAAAGCAATGAGCCAGGGTACAGGGGCGGATATCAAAATATCAAAAATACAAATCAGAAAGGCCGTTAAACAGGGTGGTAGTTTGTGGGGATCATTATTCAGATTAGGAAGCAAGTTGCTACCTATGGCCATGCCTCTAGCCAAAAAAGCTATTGCGCCGCTCGCCACAGGAGCATTATCGGGATTAGCCGATATTCGGAAAAGGTCAACGAGGAGGTTTTCTTATTCCGCAGGATAAAATAGCACAATTGATTGCATACAAACATTACTATCAGCTGGACAGAAAAGCGATATTCTTAAGGCTCTCCAAACTGGCAGTGGATTGGTTATCAGACCAACAAAAACACAGCAGGGTGGGTTTTTAGGACCTCTACTAGCGAGTATAGGAGTCCCTCTGTTACTAAATGCATTAACAGGAAAGGGTACTCAAGTCGATAGTACTGGGTCACCTTCAAATACAGTGTCAGTATATGTTCCCGATACAACTAATGGCCACGGAATGATAACCCCGTACCCTTACATGTCACCACCTTGGAATAACCCAGTTGGTGCGGGAGTAAAAAAAAAAAAGAAAGTGAAAGGGATTACTGCTAGGCAAAAACAGTCCATTCAATTCAATGCCAATTCTACGAACAATACTTTAAGATTCATAAACAAACCATTATCAAACATTGATTTGTTACATTGGGTTACACAATTGGGAATAAAATATTTCAGGGGTATCTACAGCCGTAAATGTAAATGTAAATATCTTAATATCCACTTCCCACAGGGCTTTTCAGGGATAATTTACAATACTGGTTGGGTGACTTTGCCAGACTGCTTAAGGTACAGTTTACAAGTACTGAAGGAATGAGTGATGATGCCCCCATACATGAGTGTGAAAGTGAGATAGACCACTACACCGGCCACTACGTGCCCTACTCTTTACGAAGAGTGTGTGGGTTCTTTAACGTCCCACAGATTTATTACATGTGCAAGGGCTTGTGAGACGGGGCCTACAGTTTATCGTCCTTATCCAAGAAGACTAGAAAGTCTAACCATTTGCAGATGTTATTACAAAGGCAGCACTTTCTCCTCAGTTATTTAAAGATCCTGAGTGTTGGTCCGGCCGGGGTTTGAACCTACGGCCTCCCGCTCAGCAGACCGGCGCTCTCCCAACTGAGCTAACCGGGCGGCGGTTTAATAATTTACCACAAAAAATACACAAATTGGAAACAGGGATAATTAATCTCGATGATTCAATGGGTGGGGGCAGTCATTGGGTCTGTTATAGAAACGTGGATAAACAATTTTGTGAGTATTTTGATTCGTTTGGATTGATCATGCCCAATGAGATTAAAAATTATCTGAAAACAAGCGGTAAAAAAATGGTGTACTCATCAGATGAAATACAAGAAAGAGACAGTGTTTTGTGCGGTTATTGGTGCTTATATTATCTCCTGGAAAGACAAAAAGGAAAACCATTATTAGACGTTATACAAAACCCCAAATTCAGTTCCACTAATCAAATGATAAATCACCAATTTCTAATAAACTATTTTATGTAATCCATATATATATATAAGATGACTGAAAAGTTCCGTGTTTATTGCCAAGAAATTACTCCGCATTATGCGAATCAATATGGATGTTTCGAGTGCTGCAACTGTGAGCCCCTGAGTGAAAGTGATTATGAGTCAGATAGCAGCTATGATACTTATGTTCCAGCCAGTAATGATAGTGATTAGACAATAATTATATAACATAAATATATAATAATGGTGAAATCTTATTGTGTTAAACAGAAGAAGCAAACAGAATATGTAGAACCTTCGGGTTACAAAACTGCCAAAAATGGTAGACTTATGTTTTGGTGCACTTGCGCTGAATGCGGAATAAAAAAGTTCAAATTTGTAAAGAAGGGAAACTAGATCAGCCTGTCCTAGGGGCAGGTGTAATGGATACATTAGCTGGTACTGCTCTTGATGCGTTTGTACATCACGGGCTAGCTTGGACGGCTAAAAAAGCAGTTGAGATCGGAAGATATTATGGGTCAGAAGCATTACGCAATAAAAAGTTACAGAAAAAAGCTATCGACTACGCTCTGGATAGATTGAATCCAGTGATACACAATGTTGGATCTCAAGCTCTTGACCAATTATCAACCAAAATACGACCAAAGAAAATTTACAAAACGAACAGAAAAGATCTTGATGGAGGCGCTTTGGACATCCACAAGGCCATTGGAAAATTACCAAGACCCGCAGGCGGATGGACCTTACCAGGGCATAAATACACCGGGCCCTACAACGATCTAGAGAACCAAGTAAGATACAATCCAAAAACTGGGGAAATATTAGAAATTTATGATCAATCAACTGGGCCAACCGATGCTGTGGCCACGCAACATGATATTGATTATCGTGTGATTTGGTGCTCGGATCTGGTTGAAATGCAAAGGTTCAGCAAATGGAACAAGGGTTACAGATACCTTCTCATGGTACTAGATCTGTTCTCCAAATATGGCTGGATTGTCCCATTAAAGGATAAGAAAGGGGAAACTGTCACAGAAGCATTCAAAACTATTTTCAAAGAGGGCCGTAAACCACAATATCTTTGGACTGATAAAGAGAAAGAATATTATAACAAAAATATGAAAGAACTGTTGGAAAAGAATAACATAACACTATACTCAACCGAGAATGAGGAAAAATCTAGTGTGTGTGAAAGATGGAACCGTACAATTAAAACCAAAATGTGGAAGCAGTTTACTGTCCAGGGTAATACCGAATATTTAGACATACTACCAAAAATATTGGAGCAATATAACAACACCAAACAAAGTTCCATTAAAATGACTTCTGTAGAAGCTAGTAAAAAGAAGAATGAAAGTGCCGTGTATTACAATCTGTATGAAGCAGTTGTCATCTAAGCCCAAATTTAAGATTGGTGATAAAGTTAGGATAAGCAAGTATAAGAGAAAGGTGTTTGATAAAGGGTACACACCTAATTGGACAGAGGAGATAATTCTTGTTGATAAAATCCAATCCACAAACCCAATTACCTACAGATTAAAGGATCTCAATAATGAGGGAATACAAGACAGCTTTTATGAACCAGAATTATTACCGGCAAAACAGGATGTATTTCGCATTGAAAAGGTCATTCGGAGGCATTATAAAAAGAAACAAGCTCTGGTAAAATGGTTGGGTTATAGTGATGATTTTAATAGTTGGATCCCACTGAGCAACCTGCAAAAGTTATCTAACTAATAGTATATATGAAGGATCATGTAAGAAAGATTGATACTAAAATCCGTAGTAAGGAAACCGAGCTTAAAGCACTATACACTAAAATCCAAAAATTGGAAGAAGAGATGGCGACATTACACCACAAAAAATTAATCTCCAAAAAACTGGAAACAGCAGAAATGTCATTAACTGGCGTCCTAGGTGCGATCTTTGAAACAGAGGAAGAAGAGGAGGAGAAAAAGTAAGGATATTGTTAAGATCCTAGGTTATAGCAATACAAAATGAGACAGTTTTATTGGGGTGGTTAAACGCCACCTCAACCTTGGAGCTCTAAAATGGAGCGTCAGGTCGAAGGTGCTGAAACGGTACCTCAGGCCTAGCATACTTTTTAATCTATCATATATACCATTTTATTGGTCTGTGTGACAGAAAATAATGTAACCTATATATATGGTATATATGATAGAAAAAAAGTATATCAATCAAGATATTAATATCGAGCTGACTTCATATATTGATAGTAAGCAAAATGTTTGGTTCCGAGAAAAGGATATTGCTGAGATCCTTGGATATAAGGATACTCGTCATACACTAAAAAGACATTTATCAAAGGAAAATAAAATGATCCAATTATGTTGCACCGCTAAAACGGGGGATCAACAAAGTACCTCAATTGTTGGCGTGGACGTTTCGCCCCCTCAACAAAATGACACCAGAGGGAAATATTACACATTCATTAATGAACCCGGCTTTCATGAACTAGTATTTAGCTCCAAATTAGAGTTTGCCAAAAGATTCCGCCAATGGGTATTCACTACAGTCCTCCCATCAATCCGCAAATATGGCCAATACAAACTATTTGATAGTCCCTGGAATAAAATGATTATGATTGGCAATGAAACTGACCTCCATTATAAAGTAGTAGATCTAATAAGAAGATATCATCCCGATACTATATTAGTAGCAGGACTGGGGGAGAATCAGGATACTGAGGATAAGAGACTGGATTCATATAAAAAGGGAAATATGAGAGGATAGCCTGATCAATTGGTACTTGATTACCACAAAGATTATAAGGGCCTGGGCATAGAATTCAAGAGTCCCACAGGTAACTACTATGTATCAGAAGTCCAAAAGGAGATGAAGAAGAAGTACGTTAATAATGGTTATGCATTTATACTCCGTAATGATTATGAAAAGGTATCAAATATGAAAGGTATCAGAGTACCGTGTAAATATTGTATCAAACAATTCCTTAATAAGGACACACCAAAAATGCATTATAAACTTATCCACCGAATTGAAAAATAAAATTATCACAAACTAAAAACAAGTCAGTATCTATTTAACACACCTTTTTTATATTCCATAATTATATACAATATATATATATGGAAGATTGATCTTTTTTTATGTTTTCGTTGCCGCACAGTCGTCGTTGCTAAAGCTCCCTACTGATTTAATCCAAACGAAAAGGAAGGCTACATTTCAAGTTGCCTCGTCGGAAGCGATAAGCCTTTCTACGTAAAAACACAAGCTTATAAACCTAGAGCTGTTCTAAACGCTGTCAAGAACATTGTAAAAAAGAAATTTCTAACCTTGAGGCTGGAATTCTGTGAAGTCCTCATATATCCGGTCCATATTTCGGTGAGAACACTCTGGCAACTAATATGAGCCATAAATTCCTCGTGTTCGATGGCGTAAGCGAGTGACAGGCAGCTCTGTCCGCCCCAGTTCTTCAAGTTGTGAATGAGCAATTGCTTGGTGCGATCTTTATTAGTTCGAAAGCACTGATCCAAGAAGGCCACAGACAGTCGCTTAAACTCCCTGATAAGGAAAAAAGCAGCTCTCAGTTACTAAGAAATTTTTAGCCGGGGGCAGACAGTTATTTGCCTCCAAAGTAAAAAGAAGATCTTAATCATATAAGGATTAGTACATCGCATACAAAAGAAAAGAAAAAAAACGTGGGATAACCACGCAGTTTTCAAAGATAATTTAATCGAAACTTTGTCGTTTTTTATTGACTAAAAACTGAATAATTGAATATTAATGCAAATTTAGAGTCTTGATAAGTTTATATGGCTGTCACCGTATAAGAGCACTATACCATTCTTTACAAATGTGGTCAGTGTACACATCTGTAGTGTCGTTACCATATATATATAGTGTTGCTACCGTATATGGGAATGTGTTGTGTAGGATCGCCCGGATGCGTGGGCAGGAGGTTGTCAGATCGGTGTTATAAGCATGTAGATTAAACGTCAGTTATCTGTTACTCTGGACTCCTTGTTATAAAGCATCTTTACATTGGCGACGAGGATTCTCTGTCCAAACAAGTGGATGGTTCTATACGATAGTCAGACAGAAGAACATGCGACACATGGCCGCAGCGCTACCTACGTTCCCGGAGTTCGACGTAACCGATACCAGCACACAAGCTGCTAGGTGGAAGAACAGGTGGTGTGGGCACTACGATTGCGATGCATTGTGGATGCAAAATTTTTTAAGATGGCGGCGAAGGTCGAGAAATCTCGCAGGTTATGTGCTTTGTTTTTCAATAGAAATATTTCTTTCCTTAGATCGTTTTTCTCAATATCATAAGCTAATATTTGTTTAGATTTTTTCTGTGAAGAAAAACAAATCTTAATTCTTCATTTCAATCTAAAACGTGGAACACGAAGATTTCTCCTGTCAGAGCATCAAATTTGAACCCAGTTTTTAAGAAGCTATAATTTCCATTATATTGCCCGACGAAAGTAGAAGTTAGTTTTAAGTGTTTCTACAAACCTTGTTCTACGCTAATTTTTTATCACTCCCCAACGTGCCCCACGTTTTGTGATACTTTTGCCGAATCAAAACCGGCAGGTTTTCCTGGGAAAATGTAGCCTCGCGAAGAAGAATGTGGCATTTTTAATACTGGAAGTGTTACTGTTGTAATCACAAGCTAATCACAAAATAGCGGGAAAGCGGCGACTGGTTCCTCCAAACAATAGCATCAGGTGAGCATAAAATGTTCCAAATTGGTATATAAATAGGCTGATGAGTACCCTATGTATGAATATCTGTTTTTGTAATAGGACTAAAAAAACATAGTAAAATTGCAGTCATACATGTGATTCCCTTTATGCAGGTATAAAATCGATAGGATAAGAATTACAGGCATTAAATCAAATGATAAGTTTGATTAAACAGTTAAGCTCCGTGCATTTTGAAACCAGCCATGCTCTATGAAAAATGATTTTTGGGAGAAATGCAAGAGTGGTGCAGTGTAGAGGAAGAATTTCATAACATCCACCAAGCTTGCACTTTACTTTTATCCAGAGAAATATGCACATCACTCTTGAGAAAACTAAATCATACTCTACTTCCAAGACTAGTGTGTGTTGTTGTGTGGATGTTATGACTATGTCAGTTTCGAGGTATCATGAATTTGATTACTGATTTGACTGCTGAGAAATTCTGCCAGGGCAGCTGGGCAACAAACTGCTTATTCAGTGGTGACTAGCCTCTCTAGCAGGCATTTCAAAGGAAAGGAAAGGGGTTGTGGGTGCGAGAGAAATGCGAAGAGTGAAGCGAAGGAGGGAGTGATTTCCACATTCACCTGGTGGATGTTCATAATGCAAAAAACAATAGTCTCCTGGCAGGCATTTCCCTCTCTCCTCTCATTTCTCTTGCACCAAAAACCCTCTTTCCCTTGCATTTGAAATTCCTGCCACACAGGCTAAGTGATCGCATTCAATCTTTTTACCCTTTTACACTGGTTAATATATATCAAGCAATTTGCATATTTTGGTGGCTTGAGGTAAAATATATATTGCTTGATCATTGAATGTACTTTTGATATTGGAGAACCAAGGCTGAGAAAATGGTGACGGAGAAAGGAAATATAAAAAGTGGAACAATGGGGCAGTAAAACCGTGAGACTAAGAACCTGAATTTAACCAAGTAAGCCTAAACAGGCTCTTATATAAATAGTAGTAAGCACAAGTTTAGGCTATTCAGGCCTTTAAATGGGTTCATATTTTCTGAAGAAAAACTATAGCCAAGAGTATTTGTGTTTCACCTTATTCCTCATATAAAGTCTGCATACCAAATTAGAAGTTATGCGAGAATGGACATAAAAAAGAGGAGTGTATTTAATTTGTAATTGTATCAATATAACAATTTTATTTAATTTAAACATTGGCATTTACATTGCAGTTGGAGTGATAAGACAGCTTTGTCTCCAAAAAAGATTCTGAATGGTGATTTATCTTTGCTCAAGTGTACAGAATTTTTTCATAGATGTCAAAAATAAGAACCTGTTACGCTGAACAGGTTTTTATATAGAGGGAGCTCATCTGGCATATTTTAGCCTAACAGGTTCTTAAAATTCAGGTTCTAAGTCACGGGGTTTTACTGTACTACTAGGATCCGACCAGTGCAATAACTAGTAAACCCAAAAGTCCGCTTTACAGACACCTCTTCAAGGCTGTGCTCTAGCAGAGCCCGGTGGCCCCTGGCGTCTAACTTTTGCTCTTTGGTGACTAGAAAATCTCAGACATTTCATACAAATCATATGCTGGGCAGCTTGCTTTGTTCCCTGAAAAAAAAGCCCTTAAAATTTTTCTAAATTGAAATGGACAATTTCTACGGTCCCCTCAGTGTCTGTACAACAGGGTTTGACTGTAAATATAATGAGACCCTGTGACACCATATTTGAATTGGGAAAAATTGGGGGGAGAGAGGGACATTACAAAAAAAGGAAAGGCGTCTCCCGCTATGTTGCCCAGCCTTGATTACAGGAGATTTGTAAACATGTATGAATTTCACATTTTGAAGAGTTTTTGTAATACAAACAAATATGTAATAACATGTGTTTGTACGTACTGACATAATCATTAAACAAGTTGTGGCTGAGTAGCTTTTAAAATCCATTGACTGCATCAGGCTTTGTAATCACAAATATGCCATTTTCAGTTTCAATCCAGTTATGAGACATTCTATGACTCATACCAATAAGAAAAATATATATGCAAATTTGCAGTATTGCTTGAATAAAGGTGTTCAATATTATCTGATAAAGAGGACACAAGTCAATCCTTGTACACAAATACTCTCTACTTTATTTACTTTGCTTCATGTTACGATAAATACAGATGTTAAACAAAACGAAATGCAGACTTGGTGCCAGCAGAGAACTAAGTCCTTGAAAAGATGTCCCCCTCAACTTCTCTTACTATACCTAGCAAGTGAACATCTTGCAATGCTGAATGATAAAAGAAAGTAAGCTTACTGTGTTTAAATTAACCGTGGCCGGGTATTCTGAAGACGCTCCTAGTATTTTATGAGTATATCACAGCTATGCATGTCAGTACCTCTTAGCGCTAGTTGCACTGATTTCACGGTGCATTCAAAATTTTACCTTCAGTACTTTTCATGATTGATGCATTGAACAAAGCGATTCTGTGCCGACTTAGCCTGAAATTCATCCGATTGCTTCGAGTCGTTTTTTCCTCTCAACAACGACGTTACTGAGGGAGTAATAACGACTCGAAGTAATCGGATAAAATTCAGGCTAGTGCCGACAGAATGCAAGTGATTAGGAAGAGAACACACCAGAATACACTTATCAACGGAATGAGACTGTTTTTTTCCTTGAGAATTCGACAGACTTTGTTTTTCGAAAGCTTTCGGAAGAGATTCAAAGCAAAATCGTATAGTTCTACAGCGTAATTAACGAATATTCACTCCGCAGTCGAGATGTTTACTCCACGCCATCTGGACACAAATGATCAGATTTTGAATATTGCCCATGATGCGTAGCAATCGTAATGCGCACACCACCTGGTGAAAGAAAAGGCTTTCGAGATTCCGCAATCTACTCGTTGCGATGAACATCACAAATAAGAAGAGGAAGCGAGCATTGTTGCTCCATTATGCCGGCGAAGCCACGAACGAAATTTTTGACACGTTACCTGATACCACACCGGGCGAAGGTGAAGACACGTTCGAGAAAGCCGTACAAGCCCTGACAAACTTCACTCCCAGACAGAACC